AATTGTCTCAAAATCGGAGCAAATACTATACGAGATTATTTGATTAAAATTTTACTCTCTGCAACCCCTTCAAAGTACCATCACGATTAAGCAGTCTCATATGTCTGGAAAAGTCAATTTTCAAATAAATATTGTCATTCAAACAACATACTTTTCAAGTTCTAAAAGTTTCAAACTGATATGACAAGTATAATTAGTTCTTAGATGTTTAGCGCCCATAAATTATTAAATAATTATACGTACAAACCGATACCGTTAGTAAAAACATTAATGCCTTAATTCCTTCTCATGACAAAAGGCAACCGTGTAGTAATGCTATGCTGAATGAATATTATAATAATAATCTGAGGACGATGACATTCAAAAAACGTCATATATATAAAAATATTAAATATACAAAATGGGATTATAGACAACCAACAGCAGACAATATATTACACACCAAGTAAAGGAACCAAACATCTTCCAAACCATTAATGAAATAGTTATCTGTCAGTTAAATCGGAAGATCATAATAAGACAAGACCTTTGTATAAAATATAGATAAATAATATAACCAAACACAGTATCTGCCACTTATTTTATATTCATACCTTTCAACAAAAAAGGCACACACAAATATTAATTCATGATTGTGGAGTACCACCATGTCTGTGAACACCGTACAAGATACGCCAACATGCACCTCGTTTATGGGGAATGAAGATCAAAAGCTAGTGCTGCAGCTAGGCTTTATCGTCAGAGGTACCCAAATGCTGCCCGTCATCCCGATCACCAAGTTTTTGTGAATGTGCAACGTTTACCCGATCACCAAGTTTTTGTGAATGTGCAACGTTTACTCGCAGAAACGATTTCCAAATCAAGCACATGGTGAAGGACGACTTTCCTTTCGTTACGAGGAAGTTGTACTGCATCAACCCGAAGAAGACCGGCACGAGTATTACGTATCTTCTACACTATGTAGGTTTTTCTACAAGATGTTAACTGAGCACTGGCTGATGGACACGTTGTGAACTCGTTTTGTAGTTGTACATACCTGTTGCCTAAACGTCATGAGGCTTCATTTATCAATGTTTGGTTTTGATGTCATGTAAAATCTGTTTCAGAGATCGCATTACTGGAGGTAACGGCAATGCAAGATGCATAGTGAGGATTTGTGTGCTAATAATATGTGTTGATAGTTCCACTGGATTCTTGTCTCAAATACACTTACCTGAGATTCAAAGCTAGAAATTAGTTGCGTATCCACTTTTTCTTATCCATTCTGGAAATTACATAATATGCAAATTGGCTGAATTTAAAAAATGAGAGAGTTAAGAAATAATCATATCACTGTACACTGTCGAATTACAAGTCATATACATGCTAACAGTAATTACACACAACGCGGGCGCGGTGGTGATTTCCAGTAATTCTCCTCGAAGTTTTTGAAAACACAAAAAACGTAAAAAATCGTAATTTATAACTTTGAACATAACCTGTCTTCGGAAAGGACAACATATGAATAACCTATCGAGCGCAGTTAACATATATATATATATATATATATATATATATATATATATATATATATATATATATATATATATATATATATATATGTTATATGCACTCACAACAATGGACTTACTATTCCATACAATGTTGCACCAGACGCTAGCTCAGCAACAGATAACGACTTATCGCTAACTCGTTTCTTATGCTTTGTTTTCTAAAGTGCTTTGTAAGCACACCAATAGTATTTTTTTTTTTTTTTTTTGGCACTAGGACATTGCCCCATTAGCCAGAATCAAGTATTTATCTATTATATCATACACACATATATAATTTAAGACGTGTAAAATGGCAATGACGTAGCAAGCAGATCCCCTCAGCTATCAGGGTATTGCAGGAAAGACATTTTGGTGACACAGTCGTATTTGGGCGAAGGAGCAAGTACTTAACAAACAGTAGGGAGAAATTGATTATTAAATTTCTTCTAATGCACACTCTCCACTCTGGATGAAAAACAAAAAAGTTAATATAGAAGAACTAAGAAAGTGTTATCAGGAGGGGGCGGGGGTTAAGCATTACACACAAATTTTCAGATGACATTCGTGTCTAAAGCACACCATAACTACATATTAAACCTTTGCAACTCTAAGGGGTAGGAGAGAGGATGGGTCAGACAGGGACACACGTTCTTCTCGCCCAGGGACCCGTCAGGGCATTTTTCATTTTTCACATACAACAATTAGGCCACGGATATGAAGGATATATTTATACATAAAGGTACAAAAAACAGAGGATAACTAAAATACGATTGTTATATTTTGATGCCAGAATTTCTGATAAATTTAACAACGAGAATGATCACATCAGATCTACCTAGCGAAAATACATGAGATGTATTTAGGGGGGCAGATATGCCAGATTTCACCAAATCGGAGTAGAGTGCATTGCAGTGATCCAGGAATTTAGCGCAACCAAAGAAACAGTGATCCAAGTCACCATAAACTTCACAAACATCGCATAGTGCAGATGGGGCCAAATTTAATCTTGCAAGGTGTGATGCAAGAAATATATTTTCTGGGTATTTTGAAATTTTCGTGCCAGTATCCTCGTGGCAGGCTAGGGTGTATGAGGTTGTATCTTGTAGGATTAGTAAAACAGTATTCTATCCATTCACTGCGCCATCGCTTGAGCAAATTACCTTTAAGTATCACTCGATTGTCTTGCATGCTTAAGGGTATGTCCAGCTTAGTTCCAGATGTTATACTCATCTTTGCTAGATCGTCAGCTTTTTCGTTGTGTATTATCCCAGAGTGGGCCTTCACCCAAACTAGTGTAATCCTGAGGCCTCGTTGTTTTAGCTGACTTATTTTCCATCTTATGTTGAATAAGTGTATATTTTGCATATCGAAAGGACTGCCGTTTTTTAAACTACTGACAACAGAGAGGGAGTCCGAGAATATAGACGTGTTACCAAGATTGTGGTCCTCTACAAACTGTAGGGCTTGGAATATAGCAATAGCTTCTGCAGAAAAAATCGTGAATTCATTTGGTAGTTTAAACATGGAAAAAATATCTATTGAAGGAATATAATGAGCGCATCCCGTTCCTGACGCCGACTTCGATGCATCGGTGTAAATGAATGCATCACCAGCTAATTTACTCTGCACTTCTCGAAGTAGGTTCTGAATGTGGTGTGGTTGTTGCTTGTAAGCTGGTACTCTAACATCAAATCCTGATAGTAAATGAAAGTAACTTATATCTTGGATCAATCGTTGGCTATGAGAGGTTAGTTGTATTCTGTTGGCATATTGTATGGCACTGCATAGAGGCGGGGAGTTTCTTTTGGTCCAATATTTGCATGTCAAGTCCATGGTGTTTAGACGATGAATTTTGCTCAGTAAGTGGCTGTCCGCGTGTTGTACCTTAAGTAGAAATCTGCTAGATAACATTTGCCTTCGAAGATGTAAAGGAGGCTCCTGTGCTTCTGCTCGCAAAGGTCCGACTGGTGACGATTGCATTGCTCCAAGACATTTCATGAGAAATTTATTCTGAGTTATATCTAGCACATGAAGGAGATTTTTACTGGCAGAGCCATAGAATATGCTGCCATAATCAAGGATAGATCTAACATATGATCTGAAGAATAATATTGCGATCTTTTGATCGGAGCCCCACCATACCTTGCAGATCATCTGGAAAAAATTGAAGGCTTTCTCACATCTACTGACTACTTGTTCGATATACGGCTTCCATGTGAGCTTTTTGTCAAGGATTACGCCGAGATATTTGACAGAAGTTTCAAATTTGAAGGATAACCCTCCCAGTAGTATGTTCCTCTGTAATGATACATTGTGGCGTGAGAAAACGCAAAAGGATGATTTTTTCAACGATATGTCGAAACCATGTTCCATTAGCCACTGTTTGTAGTGTTCCATTGAAGAATTTAGCGTAGATATACATTGATTAAGTTGACGGTTCTCTATATATACACAAATATCGTCTGCATACTGGACCAGCTGACATGGGGTTTGCACATCATGTAAGTCTGCCGAAAAGATATTGAATAAAATTGGGCTTAAAACTGCGCCCTGTGGGATACCTTCCTGTACTAGTCGTGGTCCAATCTTTCCGCCACTGTCGTTGCGTAGAAAAATATTCCTATCACGGTATAGGTTTGTTACAGTAAAACTAAAGTGAGGTGGGATGCCAAATTTTTCCAGTTTGTTTCGAAGTATGTTTAAATTGATGTTGTCATATGCACCTGTAATGTCTATGAAGATGCCTGCTAAGTAGTTGTTTCGCGTGAAACACATCTGAATGTCGGTGACAATATTCGTAATAGCGTCTGCTGTTCCAACTCCTTTCTTGAAGGCATATTGGTTGTTAGGAAGTGGATGAGATCTAAACCACCATTCCAGGCGATTTTTGATCAATCTTTCAAAAGTCTTCATGACGCAGGATAAAAGAGATATCGGGCGATATGAGTCAGCGCAATTGGGATCCATGTTAGGCTTCAAAATTGGAACTATAACGATGTTTTCCCATTGGCTAATTGTGTCTGCATTCAGCCAAATGTTGTTAAATATATCCAGAAGGAATAGTTTTGCATTAGATGGGAGGTTCACGAGCATTGGATATGTGATATCATCGCAGCCAGGTGATGTGTTTCTGGTATTTTTAACTGCAAGATTTAGTTCCGTCATGTTGAAAGGTCTGCTGAAAAAGTTGTCTTGATGTAAACGTGGGGGAGGTTCGACTTCTGCAGCCACGAAGGACGGAGAGCATTTTCTATGGAAGTCGTCTGCCCAATCAGAATTAGTTGATGCTTTCTTTCCCATGGGTATCCTTCTGATGATTTTAGCCTGTTTCCAGAGATCGGTTGATGACGTATTTTTATTCAACTTAGATATCCATGCTTTCCAGCTATTTTTTGATTTTTGTTTGAAGAGTTTCTTTGTTTCAGCAAATACCTTCTTGCAGTGGACGAAGTTGGCTAAAGAACTGTCCTATTTGTACGTTGCTAAAGCTGAGGTCCTTTGTGCTATGGCACTTATACACTGTTCATCCCACCAAGGAGGGGGTGGCCGTTTCTTAGCTTTAAATGGCCTTAGTATAGGGATGGAGATCTCGCTAACATCATTGATCTTTTCAATGAGATAATCGTATTTACTTTGAGTGGAGTAAAATTCTGGAGTAGAATCGAAAATATCTTCCAATAAGTCATGATACAAACTCCAGTTGGCTTTTTTCATATTCCACTTATACTTAGGATAGATTGTGTCATATACTTGGAAAGATAGAGGAATAAACATAAGAATAGGAAAATGGTCCGAACCTAATGTATCAGAAGTAAGTTGCCAATGACTTATTTGTGCAATATCTCGGGAGCAGATTGTAACATCTGGAGCAGTTACCTGCTGATTTGGAGCTACAAGCCTAGTAGGCGAACCATCGTTCATAACGACTAAATTCTTTGACTCGCATATATTTATTAACTGATAACCTATGGAATTATTAAATGAGGATCCCCAGAGATGAGAGTGTGCATTAAAGTCTCCACCAATAATAGAAGATATGCTGGTATTAGAGAAGATTGTGTCCCAATCACCAGCTGTTGAATTGATGTTCGGGGGCCTGTATATAGACAACAAAATTAAATCAAATGTTTGGTTAATAAGATTTATCCCGCATACAAGTATATCATCATTAAAATTATTCGAAAATGATATTTCACAAAATTTTATACCTTTTTTCACAAAAATGGCTACACCAGCTTTGCCATCAATTCTGTCCCTCCTCACAATATTGTAGCCATGATATCTGATAGTATCGTTTGGCTTGAACCAAGTTTCGCTTACTAGGGCTACGTCAATATCATTTTTTGAAAGGAACATATTCAAACTGTTTCGATTGGACACAGCGGAACGTGCATTCCACTGCATCACCTTTAGCACATTATCGGTATTATTGAAGACGCTAAGTGGAATTTATTAACTTATCTATTATGCAATGTATTTCGTTTTTCAATGTATTATTACTGATTTTCTTAAGATCACCTAAGTTTTCGGATTTGCTTACAAGTTCAAAAAAATTTTTGAAACTATGTCAACCATTTCGTTTTTTTCTGAAATATTCGACTGATAGATCCTACTTGAAGTTACTGGATTAGGAGGTCCTGCACTAAAAAAATGTTTCTCTGTCGGAATATTTATGGGGGGTGATTGAGCTTTACGTTTCTTATTTGCACTAAATGCTGTAGAGGAAGGTCCAGTATTTGTCATCTGATGAACATGTTGCCTGCTAGGAGAAATTGTTTGAGGGCGGCTAGGGAGATGTGGGAAGGTTACTTCGTTGATATTTTCCAATACTTGGAATCTATTGGAGGTTGAAACATGGTTTGAATAAGAGTGTTCTATAAATTCTTTGGCTTCTGTGAAGGGTAGATTTGATGTGGCCATGGTCTTTTTAATTTTTTGTTGCTTCTGAAACGAAGGACAATCTTTTGATGTGGATCTGTGCGAAGAGTTTTTACAGAAAAGACAGTAAGTATTGGTTTCATTACATGTATGTTCATCCTCTTTGACTTGGCCACATATAATACACCTGGAGTGAGTACTGCGACACTGTCCAGAAACATGTCCAAAACGCAAGCATTTATAGCATTGTATTACCCTTTGTACAAATGGCTCAACTTGAAATAGAACGCTGTTTATATAAAGTTCGTTGGGAAGCATGTTGCCATTAAATGTGACAACTGCCATTTGCCTAGGAACTAACTGATGAGTGCCATCACTAACAATTTTTCTCTTTAGACGCTTGACCTCCAGTACGCTTATATCAGAAATTATATTTTCTTTTAAATATTCCTCACTAAACTGAGTATCAACACCCTTGATTAAACCCTTTCTTATTAATAAATTATTTGGGATGTATGCTTTTAGATTCTCTGCTGCGAGTTCAGTGTTACAAACTAAGTGATTAGCATCGTTCAAATTTTTGAGACCTACTTTTATACGATTTAAGCCGACGCGGCTAATAGTCGTTATTTTATCATTCAATTTAAGGTTTTTGTGGAGTATATGTCCTACGTGAAGCGGGTGTAGTCTGCCAATATTTTGGCTGTTGGTCTTCTCAATAAACACATAAATATTATTATTTGAGTAATACTTAGCGTTTTCAATCTCAAACAGTCGTGGTTGTTGTTGTTGTTTTTTTCCTGAGATGGTATGCCGGTCCTCTGTTAACGCAGCGTTGTATTCGCTCGAGTTGACGCTGGAATTTATTTCACACTGAGGAGAATCTTCACTAAATGTTAAATCATACACAGCAATGTTCACATTAGTGTCACTAACACTGGGGCCTCCCACCCCTGTAGGAGGTGGAGGCATATTTAGGAAATGTATTTAATTAATCTATATAGAACCCGGTAACCCTCGCTAACTATATTATATGATCGCTCCGATACAGGTACGTCTTTCTTGTAAGACAGCCGAAGCGGAACTGCACCAATAGTATAAATAGGCCTTGCGCCCATTTCATGTTGTTCAATACCCGGCGCGACACCGTAATGTACGCTAACTGATAAGTTCAATACCCGGCTAGGCACCGTAACAGTCACTTATGTAAACTTCGTGTTCAATTGTAAACGTTTGTAACGGACAGTAGTTACTGTCCTCAAATAAATTTTTTTAAAAAGTAAAGTTGAATTTAAATGATATAACATATATATATATATAATTATTTTATATATATATATATATATAATTATTTTATATATATATATATACGTCATCGGCAGCAGCAGTAATGATTTTCTCACTCAGCAAATATCACTGATTTTGTACACCTGTAGACCAATACACATAATCATGGATGCGATCTTGCTATTCAACCAACTTCTCAGAGATGAAAACTATCGACTGCTCGGCTTCACAAAACATATGCAACCAACAATGCACGTAGTTGAGCTATTCCTCCATACGTGGATGCTCACAACGATCCTAGCGAGCAAACGTGGAATGACTGTTTGCATCCTAAAGACTACCAATTCTGCAAGATGACATTTTATAGGTTTTTTTGACGTTTTATAGGTTTTTTGCATAATACCCATGCCGAGTATAATATATATATATATATATAATACGTCAAATAGCAGTGCCTAAAATTACAGCCCACCGAATCTTGCAAAATCATTAGCCACAGCCGTTCCACGTACAGCGAGTACAATCTCTACAACCCCGGGATTGTCTTCCAAGAGTTCAGTTTTGTCAAACAATGTAACAACGTCACCGCCAGGGGTATTAAATAACAAACCCAAGAAAGGTAAAAAAAAAAGAAAAAACGACAAAATGTCATCTTGCAGAGTAGGTAGTTTTAAGTGTGCAAATAATTCATTCCACGTTTGCTCGTTATGATCGCTGTTCGGTTCCCCAATCATTCTATCAACTGACGATATGAACGCAGAAGATCCCGATATTTTTATCGGTTCTTGAAGATGAAGTCCTTCCGCTTCACGGTTAATATGGATGGTGGATAATGAAAACATGAGAGTTAATTGATGAAAGAATTGCGTGAGAAGTACATAGCCAATCTACTTGACGCCATTTTTCAAGTACTCCATCACTTGCGGTATATATCACCCATAATCTAGCATTACCATAAAAATCCTGATTTACTCCACAACTGACAACATACATTACAATATTACACGTATAGTTTGTGTACGGTCTTCCTGTATGTCCATATTTAGCGTACAAATTGTTGCTAAGGATTACTTATGACTGAAGCATGTTCGTGACTTTTTTTGTTTTACAAGCTCTCTATTCCATACAGTAGAATGGAATTTGAAAAAATGATACATAATCGTCATATATTTCACCATAAATATCTTATTTTTATGCGGCTATTTGCTTAAGGACACATTTTTACAGTATGTTAATAAAACGGCAAGTCATGCTGAGTCGATTCATTTGACGTTTTTTTATTTATTGTTGCGCAAGGACATTTTGAAATACAGGAATTAGTAGCAATTAATTATACAGCAATATTGATAATCCGCTGCATCGCTTTCAGAACCGTAGAGCAGAGTGAATACCAGTGAAAAAAGCATTGTTGATTTGGTTGAAATTCTGGACTATGAAGACGCATGATCTGAACTAATATTCTTATGTTCTTGTAGGTTTACTATTATGGTCGTAATCTAGACAAACTTAGGCAATGTTATTATTTGCTGAATATACTCATATATTATATGGCCCGAGAGCGAGCAGCGGCTAGTGCAAATATATGGGTAATATATACCCTAAGAACCAAATTTGTCTGACGGCTTGCGTTCAATGTGCACGAGAGAGAAGTGTGTTTAATCACATACTTGTATGTTAGAAAGAGAAAGAAGCCGGTTGGATAGCGAAGTTCATCACCGCGTTGCCTAGCAACGCTGACGAGACAATCTTCCGTGTTGCCAATATGTTACACCACGGTTCCTTGAATTAAGATGCACGTTGAAAATATGCGTTAGTTTATTCTCTATGCACAAACAATAGTTTTATTTTGAGCGTACACATTTTTGAATTGTGTCGAATCTGTTTAGGATCGATTCCGGATGGGTCCTAACGGCGCTCCATTTTAGGTCGAAATGAAGGGTCAGGATCGCCACAAATTCTGCAACATTGCATCATTAGTATGCTTGGCAACACGGCATCTCGAACATTCCAAGGAAAGGTTTCCATGATCGCTGTCGAAAAATGAAACAATAACTCAGGATTTGTTGATTTTTTCACCACCGGTGGAATAATTTTAAACTAAATCAAAACACTTAAATGAAAACAAAATATTGAATCAAATGTGCGAATAGACCTCGTTCTTGGGTTTGACAGCAATGTAATCTATTTTAGAAGCCTGTGCTAAAATTTCTAGTGTAACATATTGGCAACGCGGCGGATTGCATGATCTTCTGCGTCACGGTTGCTAGGAAATGTGGTGATGACCTTCGCTCTTCAGCCGGCTTCTATCTCTTTCTAACATTTGTTAATACATGTACACCTCTCGCGCTTCTTTCTCGTACACATTGAACTCAAGCCATCAGACAAATTTGGTTTTCCCTGTATGTGTGAAATATATTTAACACTCTCGCTCAACCCTACAACCCCCCATGTCTCAATTTCCCCCTATTTTTTTTCAAAAATGACCAGGGTCCTCATTTTTGATTTTTTTCGCGGCCGTCAGTGGACCGAATTTAAAAAATTACAAAGCCTAACTGGCAGAAATGAATGACAATTTTTCGTGCTGTAGATGTCATATAAGATCCAAAATACAATATCTCAGTTTCGAAACTTTTTCGCCATTATAATACTTCGTCAATGGCGTCGGAAGTAAAAAAAAAAAATATATTAAGAATAAAGTTTTTGTTTGTCTATAACGTGCCTTTTTAGCGGAAAAATAAATCGATGTTTCTTAATAT